CATCACAACATTGTGAAGTTAGCTATCATATATCAGGCTATAACTAAAGTAGCATTGATAATATAGTAACGTTACTGGCAGGACTGTTGATACTGATCCATTACAGAAACTAATGCGCAAGTATCAGCCGTATCTCGCGTTACCTAATGCAACTCCACACTACGGTGCTGTGTACCGGAGGAGAGACGCGAGATACTGCTGATACTTGACGATCTGGCGGAGAAAGGTTGTGGAGCCTCCGTTGATATGTCGTTGTAAATGGCTTGATGGAAAGCAGGTGTGTAGTTGGGGAGGGTGCACAGCTGATTGCAGCAGGTGAGTGGAGGTTGAGCCGGGAGCCAGGAGTGACAGCCACCACGCACAAACAAACAACACAGACAGGGGGAAACAAACAAACACAAAGGAGACGGCTGGAGCAGTACAGCCACCACAGCGTTACCTAATGCAACTCCACACTACGTCTTACGGTGCCGTGTACCGGAGGGGAGAGAGAGAGAGCAGCGAAGGGGGGGGGGGAGAGAGAGAAGTAATACGGTTTCCTGATAAAGCTGTGGAGAGTATGTGCTGCAGGGAGGTGGATGCACAACGCACCCAGGAACGAACGCTAGCTCCGGTCCTTTTTACTGTGGACTCGATTTCCTGACAGGCTGGTATTTGTGCAACCTGCACAAACACAATACTGCACCATGATTACAAATGGTGAAATACAATGTAAAACTACCGAAAAATACCAGCTCACTAAAACACAACCGCTCAACTCAACGCAACTACTAACTATACCCGAGGTCAGAGAGCGGAGATGTTTACCCTTTGTGATGTAATATGACGCGTTTGATGTATGACCTTAAAAAAAAAGCCGTTTTTAAGAGCAGAGCTCAAAATTGCTCCTTTCCCTCTGAATCCCTTATGTCTCGTAAAACGTATCAAATCCTACATTCACTTTTTTAATTGTAATTTTCAAGCAAGTTTAAGCATAAATGTAGAAAAAAAAAAAACCTGCAAGTTACTCTTTAAGTGCCTCCTCTGTCCTCCACTTGTTAGAAGTACCAAATGTTTGAGCTGAATGTACTTCAAATGATTCCACAAAAGTGGAGCTTGATAAGAAAAGGCTCTGGCTCCCATTGTACTTTTAGAGACTCTAGGAACAACCAACAACCCTGCATTCTTGGAACGCAATGCCCTAGTAGGCCAGTAGGGTATAATGAGTTCTTTAAGGACACTTCAACACATGTCATATCATTTTAACGTTGTAGTTTGTCAATGTGGAACCAATTTTATATACTGGGTACATAATTAGTACAGTACTCCATCATATCATTATATAACTATAAGCCTTCTATAAATATATTAAAGTACAACAAATACAAAGTACTTAAATAGAACTATAGTACAACACTTAAGTAAAGGTACTTACTGTGATATTCCACCATTGGCAACAAGAGTTTATATTTCTCAATCCTTATTTTCAGTCTACTCCTAAGTATTTTGTCTTGTTTACTGAAATTAATTAGATTTTAATAATGGGAAAAGAAGGTCATGGACATATATGTACTGAACATACTGAGGTGAAGCTTATTTTATGTAACCATCTTTTCTCTGAATCGGTTGTAATTGTAAGGCATTGATTTTTTATGAGAACATAATCATTCCCAACCAATTCCTCTGCTAACTTCTCCTTTTTCCTCTTTTTTCTTTTAAACCAGAATGTAAAATGGAAAAAGCCGACGTTATTTTCCTGGTGGACAGCTCCAGAATATCTCAAATACAGTATGAAAGCATTCGGAGGTTTATGGCATCAATAGTGAACCAAACCACAGTTGGCACCAACCTGACTCGTTTCGGGCTCATTTCCTACTCAGATAAACCCCGGACTCATTTTAAACTGAACGCCTACGACTCCAAACGGAAAGTTCTTGCAGCGATACCAACTGTGAAGCCGGAAGGAGGTGGCACCTACACAGACAAAGCCTTGAGATACTCTCTAGAGTACTTTAGTGCCGAACATGGAGGCCGGGAGATGCCCCAGATTCTCGTAGTGATCACAGACGGAGCTGCCAACATACCTTCCAACCTAAAGGGTCCGGCTGATAAACTGCGAGAACACGGGGTCACCGTCATCAGTGTCGGAGTGAAAGAAGCATATCGAGATCAGCTGTTGACCATTTCTGGCAACACCGGTAGAAGTTTCTTTGTGAACAGATTTGAGGCCCTAGGAACTCTGCACAACAATATGTCTGCTGTCCTCTGCAATGCCACAAAACAAGGTGAGTGGTCTGTGGTACAGAAGTTCATGAACTTCCCAGCTAAGATTGAAAGTTTGTGTCAAAAGATCCACTAAACTTATAAAATAATTGAATCCAGCAAACTCACAAAGACACATACTGTGTAATACGGATTTCATTTCAAAAGGGAATTGTTTTTAAAGATCAGGAATCTAAATTAATAATTCAAGTGCTCAATATTCAAATTCAACTCCATAGTTATTTGCCCCTTCAACTTTCTTCCTTACTGCACATCCTTCAGCGTGATTGTAGATTACATTACATTATTACATCACATGTCACTTGTTAGACGCTTTTATCCAAAGCAACTTACTTACTCAATACGGTGGGATTTGGGGTGAAGTGTCTCAGGGACACAACGACATGCTGACTGCAGTGGGGTTTGAACCTGTGACCCCCTGATCCCAACACCAACGCTCAACCCACTGCACCACACGCCTGCTAGATCTTCACAGTACTACAATAATCGTGTAAAGGGTTTAAAATATTCAAAATGTTTTAAACAAACCCTAAAATAAACATAAAGCCCTTTTGGAATGATGGTTCATAAACAGTTGAATGTATAGTTTACCAGTATTTGTGTTTGGTCACTTAATGCACTTCTACAACAAATATTGGACAAAAAAGTCTTGGTCTTGATCCATCCATCCATCTTCTCCCGCTTATCCGTGGTCGGGTCGTGGAGGTAGCAGTTCCAGCAGAGAGCCCCAAACGTTCCTTTCCCCTCATCAACCAGCTCTGACTGGGGGGTCCCAAGGCGCTCCCAGGCCAGCGAAGAGATATAATCCCTCCACCTGGTCCTAGGTCTACCCCTTGGTCTCTTCCCAGCTGGACGTGCCTGGAACACCTCCCTAGGGAGGCGCCCAGGTGGCATCCTAACTAGGTGCCCGAACCACCTCTTGGTCTTGATTGCTTACCTAATCTAGCTCTTTAGGGTTTGGGCAAAGCCAGGAAAGATGGAAAATGACACAATTTAGAAGTAGATATCCTACACATTTTGTTTCTCTCCATGCTCAAAACATTTCTGCTTGCGGCGTCAAGGAGTAAGAATCACAAAGGCAGTAAAAGCAGAGCATACCTAGTTGTTTTCCCAATGTGGTTTATTTGAATACATGAACAAGCCTGAGAAACTGCTTTTAATCTGTCAGATTGACAGAACAGCTGCATCATTCCTTATCTATCAGACTTCAAACCGTAAAAAAAGGGAGTGAGGAGTTTGGTGTGGCCAAACAAATTATGCTTTACAGTGAATTTCTTTGTACTTTTGTAAATTACATTTGATTTTCGTCTATTTTATATTTCCATGTCCATCATGTTGACTTATGTCTTCCTCTTGCTTTGCTCTGTCAGGATGTAAGGGGAAAAAGGCCGACCTGATCTTCCTACTCGATCAGTCAAGCAGCATTAATTCAGAAGATCACGACATGATGAAAAACTTCACGGTAAGCATCGTGAACAGCTTTACCATCAGTGAAGACCGGGTGCGTGTTGGACTCGCACAGTTCAGCGATAACCCTCAGGACGAGTTTAACCTCAACAGCTACTTCAGGAAGGAGGATTTGGTCGGGCACATCCAAAACTTGAAATACACTGGTGGAAACACATACCTCGGAGAAGCCTTGAAACACATAAACAAATACTTTGACGACAGTCGTGTTGTCCCGAAGAATCTGGTGTTGATCTCAGATGGCGGGTCGCATGATGACGTGGAGGATGCAGCTGACTATCTCAGGACACATAACATTTCGGTGTTTGCCATCGGCATTGGCGACATTCATGACCTGGAGCTCTTGCAGATCACTGGCAACCCGGAGAGGCTGTTGAATGTGCAGAACTTTAAAGGATTGGAAAATATCAAGCAAGACTTGGTCGACATCTTATGCGATGATCCAGGTCCAGGTCCAGATCCAACCCCAACCCCACCCACACCTTCACCCCAACCCTCCTCAACAACAACAACAACCACAACCGCAACCACACCTTCACCCCAACCCTCCTCAACAACAACAACAACCACAACCGCAACCACACCTTCACCCCAACCCTCCTCAACAACAACAACAACAACCACAACCGCAACCACACCCCCTCGCTCCCTAAGCAGTAAGTTGAAAAGTGTCTCCTTGCATCTCAATAGCTGTGTTTCCATTGAAATGTTGCAAAACAAAATGTAGGTGCTGTTCTATCAACTGGTTTAGAGAGAATACAATGGGCTTAGTTGTTTCACGGTAAAGGCTACGTATTACTGTTTACTGGAAACAAAAGAGATTGTCTTGGTCATAAGACTATTTAACACCTGATCTTGCACTATTTACCGTAATTTCCGGACTATAAGGCGCACCTGAATATAAGCCGCAGCAGCTAAATTGAATGATGTGTACATATATAAGCCGCACTGGACTATAAGCCGCAGGTGTTTTAATGTTTCATTACCATATGTAAGGGTTCGTGCACAGAGGGGATTGTCGGGAAAGAGATGGCTGTTTGAGGAAGCTCCCATTTATTAACATTTCAACAAACAAGTTGCATATTTGCATAAGGTATTCAAGTGTTACCATTTAGTGCAATAGTAGCTACAGAACATGTGCTGTGTAAACTGTACTGTATCACATAGCGTTTCAGACACACAAACTTTTCAACTTTCAAACTTAAACGGTGCGCTCCCAGCGCACGTACCGGCAGTGATCTACAGCAGTGGTTTTCAACCAGTGGTACGGGGACAAACTGTCTCGCTCTCGTATTGTCTGTCTGTCTTGCTCTCGTTCTGTCTCTCGTACCACTCTCGGTTCCACTTTTACTTTTGCGCGCTACCTGTCTCACTCTTTTCCGGCCTCCAGCTTTTCCTGCTGGAACCCGCCGCTTAAAGGTGGGGGGTGCGGACCGGCCATAGAGCCCATAGAGTTAAAGGTGGTGGACTGTAACCTGTAACATCCATAGATTTAGGAGGTCCCCTAGTGGCCGTTAGCTGTAACAATCCATAGATTAGCCGCACCGTTATATAAGCCGCAGGGTCGAAAAATGGGAAAAAAGGCGCGGCTTATAGTCCGAAAATTAAGGTATTTTATTTCTTAATTTTTTATTGCATTATATTTGTATTATTTTGTTTTTTATTATATGTATTGTTGTATGTCTTCTAATTGCACTGTTGAGGATCCTGCAACCTATGTTTTTCATTCATTGCACAAGTACATCGTAGTTGTGTATACGATATGACAAAATTGCTCTTTTATTTCAGCTAGTATAAAGCGGTGTAGGAATATGTCCTAAAACCATGAAATGAGATAGCATTTGATCACTTCCTGTCCCCTGGTCAAGGGTTTTCTGAATGTGTTTTTGGTTGTTATCCTGAAATAACAACCTGTGGTCTGTGGTTAAAGCAAGAGATTTGACTGTTTTGCTCAACAGCATAAAATAAGTCAGTAAATACCCCACTGGTGAATTTAAACTCGGCAGTTGCCATGTTTCATGCTGTCTGGACACTAAGACATGCAGTCATGTGTTATGGGAATATCCATATCATCAAAAAACTGTTTGCCATGATCGGGGAAGTTTTGGTCAAATATTGCTGCTCTTCTTCAAAATGCAATACCTAAAAATGCACTTAAGAATATGTGAATGTAAACACAGCTTATGTATCCCACCGTATTCCTCTGTGTTTATGATTGCTAAAAGGTAAATACATGTTTCCCTTTGCTACAGACTGCAGCATCGATATCGCCATGGGATTTGATATTTCTCAGAGAACAGCAGGGGAGAAGCTGGTCAGCGGTCACACCATGCTCCTGAGGTTCCTGCCGGAAATCGCCAGTTCCGTGTCTTCGGTGAAAACCCTTTGCTGCGTCGGTCCAGATCCTATCCAGCCCAAGATTGCTTTCCAACTGCTGGATAGTGACGGGCGTTCCTTGTACGACACAGACTTTGAAGCCTACAGCAAGGAAGTGGTGGACAAAGTCATGGAAGTGCAAATGTCAGGGACTACTTACTTCAATACAGCCATGCTGAAGTCCTTCAAGCAGAGGTTCTTGGACAAGTCCAAAGCTGATGTGAAGGTGAGAGACACCTGGCAACCCTGGGAAATCCCTATTTTTGTTTTCATGCATTGCCTCCACCAAGAGAGATATCTTCAGTTTGTTGTTAGGAACTGGTGTACAGGGAAACTACAGGGTCCACTCTTTTATGAAACTGAGGAATGGTGTATAAAACGGGGCAGAACCCATTTCATTTGAAGTGGATGTGAATACAAACGATATTTTAACTTTTGCTAGCATTTAAAAATTATGCATTTGGCTTCGGCAGATGTGCCTTTTAGTTTATAATGAAACGTTCAGTCTTTAGCTATGCCGCCAAAAAATTGCTAATTTGCCGTTAATACAAAGTGAAGCTGTAGCTGAGGCAAACGTCATTAGCAGTGCACTTATTAGGTAGACCCTCTAGAAAAACGCGGGCAAAAATCCTTGATTATGCGATTAAACATGCAGGGTTTTTATGTGATTTTTATGCGGTGAAATTGCGGGAAGTTGCGAAATATGCGGAAAGTTGCGAAATATGCTAAATATGCGGGGGAAAAGAATAAAAAAAAATTTAAATATTGGGCTGTCTTATTTATTCTCTCTCACACACAACCTGCCACTAACGTTAAACCCATTTACTGTTCAATTAAACACATTCAATGTTTATTTATTGTAAAAACAATTGGGCTATTTTAATCTCACACACACACACACACACACACACACACACACACACACACACACACACACACACACACTTCTCCGCCTCATTCTGTTTTCATTTACTCGTTCGTTATCTGACCAGCTTCAATCTTGTAGGCTACTCACTTCGTTTCTTGTAGCCCTCTAAAGGGTTTTGGAGGTTGATGCCTCGGTGAATGTGAGTTGTTTGGCTTT